CCTCAAGTGCCTACCCGCAGGAATTGAAGAGGATTATGATTCCAGTAGCTCCCCACAGAGAAACATGGATTTGCATCAGTCCCTGCTCTGCCCTCTGCTGAAAATATTTAACCCTGAAATAATGATATTCATCCTAGCTAAAGAAATCTATCTGCTTCAAATGAGCTAACATATGAAAAAAAGGGATCTATTTAGTGCTGAATAATTCTGTTCAGGAAGACTGCAACTTTTGAAAACAGGATTCAACATTAACCCCTTCCCACAATAAAAGATGAGGAGTTGATGTATCAAGTGAGTTCAACAAGTGCTCATAATTGGTGATTACTGAACTATTGACCTTGTAACAGTTCCTTCGTTTGAAAAAAGGACCCAAATATGTACTGTAAAGGAGGAATAAGCATGGCCAAACATCACAGATTGATTTCAGGAATCAAGATAAAGTAACATTTCAAGGGAAAAGGACTTATATTCAAAAGCAATCATAAGGTAGCACATTTTACCAATTAAACTGCCTAGAAAAAAAACAATTTCAGCAATGACGTTCCAGAGCATTTATAGAAAGATCTTTTCAAAAGCTATTACTCCTCATCTTTGAAATACTCAGCCGGAAATTGATGTTTAAGATTCACACTGTTTACTTTATAGGTCATGTACTATTTAAGAATAATGCAGTGTATTTTTCACCTCAGAGAGCTTATGTACCTTCTATTAATAAACGTTATACATATTCACTGAGATAAAAGGAAACACCTTAGCTTTCCAAGATTAGAGAAGCTTGGTCATTTGTGTTATTCTTTTATTTGTACAAGTGTCTTGAAGTCCTGCCTTCTTCCCACCATCTTCAAAAAGCCCGTCACTTCATTGCCTTCAGTAAGCATCAATTATTAAGTTTGACATTACGACTTTTGACTATACTACCTGCATAGTTTATGTTATTATATTCCAGTCCTTTGCTCTAGGTGTAGATTTTACATCTGAAGGATAAAAAGTGTACGTAAGAAGGATAAGAAGTAAGTACACAAACCATGCAAGTTGATGTCGTGGGAAGAGGAGATTTGTTATAAAAGACCAACAGCACTAACTGAGACACTGAGAAGCCAAATCATGCTGGCACAGGCCATGAGCTACATGAAGGATACAAAAAGGACAGCCTCTCCCCAAGCTTATGGGCAGATTAGATCAGTTTATGGATGACCCCGACTTTCCCATAAACACCTGAAGATGGAAATGCCTGAACATGTCTTATCCTAGGAAGGCTACTTGCAACAAGCAACACTGATCTCTGTAGCTGCCTAGGAGAGACTTTTCTCCTGTGAGTGATCTCCAGAGATGTTATGCGGCTAAAGCAGGCATGCAAATTCATCACAGTTTTCCCAGGGCATGGTATACTTCAGCACTGAGACGTTCATGCCAGCACTGAGACGTCCATGTCAGCACTGAGACACACTTAACTTTCTTCAGGTAAGAATTTACAAGTAACTTTACAAAAGCAAAATGCAACAAAAAACTATCCATCAAGATAATTTCAAGCAAGTCTAATACAAATTCCTCTGAAGTAAATAGCTGTGATTCTGCTGGTTCCAGGCCTTTCGATCTGGAAGGCAGTAAGACCATTTTTAAAAGGTTTGACTTAAAGAAAATTCATTATCAGAAAAAAAGGGATACATTTATGCCATAAACTGTTCTGTATTTTTACTTCTGTATATTTTCACTCTTGGCAGTGATAGTGGAAAGCCAGTAGAAGAACCTAACCTCAAGACTGAATACCCTGAATACCAGGAGTCATGCAAGATATATGGGGGAAAAAACACACATCATCATGTCCTTATGCTATTCTTTTTCTAGTAGAACCATATTTTAATAGTTAACAGATCAAAATTCCTTGCTGGTAGTTTACTACTAATAATCTGAGTCACTAATGATTTTAAAAAGGTCAAACTGGAGTTATTAAGTAGCTAGCTACAGTAGGAGTATACTGAAAAGATTTTTCTGTAGAAAAATTACTAACTCTGAATAGTTATAAGATTCTTTCTCACACTAGTCCACATTCACATTTACTCCCAACAAGAAAGAGTTCATTAGACTGACTTTGTTGTAATTTAGCAGGGAATGTCTTGTAAAATTGCTGTTTAATAATTCCTATCTGAACGTTGTTTTAAACGGAGTTCTGTGTTGTGTGGCCAACAACAACACATGATATGAAAAACATGAATCATTTTAATTTAGTCTTACAGAGACTCCAAG